GTGATAAGTTATCGTAAAATGCTAATTGTACATTTTAATATCATTCTCTTACTATCTAATGTATTAATTGCAGCACTACGATAATTAAATTAATGAATAATATTTTTTTTGGCGTTGACATTAAATATATATATATATATATATCGTTGCGGATGAGTGGAAAAGAAATCTACGTGGAATGGATGATTTTCGAAATAATTATCAGGAATGTCGATTGTCCGTGTATCGTTTTCCATGTATCCGTGGCATCTGAAAATTTTCGCGTTTCAGCTGGAAAAAGCGTAGACTCGCGCGCGCTCTTCCATTTGTTCCTGTCCTTTGTTTCGCTTCTTTTGATTCCACTTTACTCCATTGCTATATGTCTTTCTTCTGTGTAATCGAAGATCGTGGAGGATGGCGCGCGGTGCGGCAAGAGCAGAGGAGACGGATTTTTCCTTTTGTCCCGCTGCCGCCGCCGCCGCTGCAAAACGGAACGGATGAAAACTGGCTCATGTAACTACACACATGTACTACTTGTTTTAGTGCTTAATATATTATTTCCTTTTTACTACGGCCGCAGTCGTCACGATTGTTCAAGGAAGTCGAATATATCGCGTTTGAAAAACGGCCTTGGTTCGAATCTAACGACTTTAATATCACTTAAAAAGTGCACACGCATACTTAAGTCTACTTAAGGGACTCAAGGAAATGAGACAAAGTCCGAAAAAATGCACACATACACATGGTGGTACGTACAGTCACTCGTAGGACCTTTCATGTATGTATACATACATACACATACACATAGATACACGAGCGGACTTCGGGGGCCGAAAACGAGGTCAAACACCGGCCGCCATCCAATTTGTCTCAATCGTTTCCATCTCGAAACGGAACGAGAATTGTTGAATGTTTAAACGGCACTTCCGGCTTTTTTTTACTTTCTGGTTTTCTTTATCAATTAATCGTTTAATCAAATCGGACGGCCGCGTTCCACTTGACCCAAACCACAGTTTCCACTCTAATGAGTATCATTTACTAATAATGCCCCAGATTATGCATCTAACTTGCATTACGTATCTCTTTATAGTTATTTGAAATGAAAATACAATTAAGAGTTGAAATGTTTAAAATACAAAGGTATGATGGAATGTTTTAAAGAAATTACATATATGTAAATATATAATATTGTTGGAAATATATTTCTTAGGTAATTGATATTTTTCGATCATACGGAAGTGAGAATTAGTCTTGATCGTTCAATAAATCGTTAATCATGATGCATTCTGCATATCTTCTTTAGATTATACAACTTCATTCCAACATGAACGATCTCGCGAAGTGTTAAAATTCCCAAAACACATCACGCTTTTGACTTACTAATATACATGTTTTTTCTTCGTCTCTCTTTGGAAGCCGTTCATTATTTATTGATTGCGCAACGCGGCCGAAACCATACATCATATTTTATTTACGTTTTGTTGCCGTTATTGTGTTCTTTTTTTTATTTTTAGTTTCGTCTTATTATGTATGTTATACGTTTGCGTCGTTTCGCGCTCCGTTCTTTATTGCGGCTTTTGGTCTTGTGAAATTGATTGATTCGATTGACTCTCGGACAACGATCGGTGATGAATGAACGCCGCTCTTCCACCTTGCAGCATCCCGGATGGTGAACACGTGTAGTGTTTAATAATCCCGGGACCTATTTCGTTGAGTTTCATTGTTTCTTGATTACTTCTTTTAACATTTTTAGGTTCAAGTTTTCGTTATTATTTTTTTTTAAGATTTCAGGTGAAGTCTACGTTTGCTAGTTTGTGTATATGTATTTCTGTGTGTGTATGTGTATATGTGCGAGAGAGCTGAGCCTCGCAACGAAGGCCCGGAGGCGAAATAAGGTTGAAGCAAAGGAAATGTTACAAGGTCTTCTAGATAGCATAGGAGATTGTAGCGTTTTGTAATCACTGTCTCTCTTGCTCACCGCGCGCGCGTTCTTTTTTCTCTTCTCTCCTCTCTTCTTACATATCCTCCTTCTTATTCCTTCCTTTTTATCCTTATTTCTGTTCCTCGCTCCTCTGCTTGCGTACGTAAGCTCCTCTCGCGGAGTGAACATTTTTTTTAATTATTATTTATAATGAGTAAAAATAAAATGTTGAAGACTTCATGTAACTGACAGCATTCCGCTCCGGGGCCCCGGTTTTACTGCAATAACTTTTATGAATAATTTAAAGCTACAACTCATTTTTTTTATATTATTTTGTTCTCTTCGCTCTACGTATACACATTTTAATATGCATAGATATTTTGTAACACACTCAGATTTGTTTTTTTTTTCGTTTCTACATACACTTTTATTTCGTCTCTCTAGCACGCCAAGAATACATTCATTATAAAAAAAAATGAATAGTAAAACACACAGCAATCCATTAGTTTTCTTCGATATTCAATAACAATATTCCATATTAATTCAATAGTATAATTTGATGTAATATACATTCTGTATTGTAATGCGTATATAGTTTAGAACATATAAACACTTAATGTAATACGAAAATAATACCGGTAGATAATAAAAATAATAGTGATTAATTAGTCAAGATTTTTATTCAAACTGTAAACATCGATGTTTATAAATAATTAATTAATTAAAAAGCACAAAAAATATGTTCGCTCTTCGATTTTCGTGCTATGGGAATATTTCACAATTTTACGTTTGTGCTACGTTTTGGGAAATGCTCGAATCGAAATACAACACAAAATTAAAAGTATTAACAAGTAAACATCTAACCAATCTTATTTTACGAATTAATCGAATCAAGGCTTATTATAATTAATTAATATTATTACATAACCTCTACTCTAGCTAATTGTATAATAGTTACGAATACAATGATAGTTATAAAATGATTTTATACTTTTTTTTTTAATAGGTAGTTAATTAAAATTTATTACTTACTTTGATGCTTTAAAATGTATAACTTTACTTATTGGAAAATAGATTATTGATTTGCTGCATTAATCATTGAAGGTGGTATAAATATTAACGTTTTTTTATCATGCTTTTCATGTATTCTATTTTGAAAATTCACGCTAGGATAGATTCCTGTACATTAAATACGCATATAACAGTCCCATCCATCTTTCTATTTCGGGTTGTGCCGATGCACACACCTTAATCGTTTATTGTGTTTTTCTCTCTCTCTCTCTCTCTCTTATATGTATATATGAATGCGGGTCATATGACGACCGGAAAGACATTCAAGCGGTCTATATCCGGTTTAATAAGCGCAGGCCAAAACGACCAATAAATAAGGTAATTGACGAGGAACGTCGTGTTCCCCCCATATCTCCGTCGTTCGTCCGTGTCGACTTTGGTATTAAATTCACAACACGAGAAGGATGATCAAGAAACGAATAAAAAAGAGGTGCTTTGATGATGAGAAGAGAAGGTACAGAGAGAACGCATTAATTATAAGCTGTCAAAAAGTCGTTTTTTTTAGTTGTGTGTATCTCTCCTGTTTTTGATTAGTGACAAGTGAAACTAACTACGTTTAATTGTCATTTGACAAAAAAATGTAATTACTGGAGTTCTACGTCTTTTTTTTTTTTGGTATTTCGAAATTACGAAAATCGCAAAAACTTTTTTAATTAATACTTACTTCAACCAAAATGCATTTGGTTCAAATTCGGAACGTTTCCCAATGTAAAATTCTTGAAACCATACAGTTGATATTTGAGTAATAAAAGTAGTAATTTCTTTAAACAGAGGTAAATCACAAATTTGATTGCAAAATCAAATTTGACAACGTCGAAACAAGACGTCCGTTGCAGTCAGAAGTGATGAGTCATTTTTTATACAACTGTTTTTCTCTTCTATTCATATATTTTTTTTGTATTATTATTATTCTCTTGTTTCTTCGCTTCTCACTAATGACATTGCAATTGCGGCGTCCTTTTTTCCTTGCGCGAAGCAAGTGTGCCAACGTACGCGAAGATTACGCAACAGCCACAAACAAGCCAAGGAGATTGCCATTACCATTTTTCGTCGCCCTTTGTTCTGCTCCTTCGCCATCGCTACGAAATTATTATTATTATTATTTGTTGTGTGTTTGTTGTAATATTATCATTTCTCACACGAGTGACATCTGAAGATAGATGCGCACGGACTTCCGGTTTCCAGCCTTGGTCACACTGCATGATTCCGAACATTAATTTTCAGCAGCAGCGCAACAAAACAAAACACGACACAGAAAAAAAAACAACATACACACTCACAAACACAGAGAGCACACGTAATATAAAATGAAACGAATATAAAAAAAAGATCATTAAGAACCTTGGAAACGGAATTATAAGAAATTGTTTTCTGTATAAGTGCATGTATATATATATATATGAGTGTGTATATGTATGTAAGTGCACTTTGTTTTATTTTGCCAACACGGAAAAATAAGCATTTGCTTTTCAACACGAAGCAAGGAAAATATTGTTATAATGTTTTTTTTTTTATATTAAAGTTAAAAGTTATGTAATTGCATTTGTATATGTCACGAAAAATGTTGCTAAGGACTTCAGCCTGTTTAAATGGCAGGTATTAATTTACGCTGTCAAAAATGGACGAACTGTTGATTTTAAAAAGAAATTAGAATTGCAGGGATTAAAAGTTTTTCTGAATTATTGCAAGTCTCTGTGATAATTGTGATAACTACAAGCAATATCAACTATTGGAAGGATAATTCGATTTGTTTTTTTTTTATTATTTTTTATTTTCTTATTTTCCTTAAGACGCGTGACCATTACAAAGAAGAAAATATTACATGGTCTATCATCGATTTGAAATTGTAACAAATTGATATTGATGGGTTTCCAATGATTGGACATATTTTTAGACAGCGGTTGTTTGAGTAGCGCTGTTAATTGCCATAGTGTGGTTGCTGACGGTTCACCTTTTGCGCAAATAATTTAAGAATTTTATTTTTTTTTATATGAATACTCATTTGGTTGTTTTTGTTCTCTGGTTGCAGGTGAAAATTTGGTTTCAAAATAGAAGGAGCAAGTACAAGAAGATGATGAAAGCAGCCCAGGTGACGGGTGGCAACAACAACAACGGAACGCCCGGAGGCCACGCGGGTCTTTTGGGTGCCAGCGCCAATCTATCCTCGACTAGTCCCGGACCTCAGGCCCAGAACATGATGCAAGGTAACCACTACACCAACAACAACAATGCAAACCCAGACACACACCACAAACAGAATCCGACAATCGTAATAGTAATTTGACGGCACCCCATCGCGCCCCTGCCACTCTTGGCTGCGGGCGGCGCTCTACCCCCCGTCGTCTTTCAAATAATTTTATTTACTACATGCACTTGCTTATCATCTAAACACGATTCTTCATGTAACTGTGTTCTCCTTTCTACTCTTCTGCCGACTCGCAGCTTCCGTTGCGTTGCGTAACTTTGTGATTGTAATATTTTCATTGTAATTATGATTTGTTTACAGGTGGCGGCAGTTCTAGTGGATCGCCGGCGACAGGGTATATGCAGCATTCCTCACCGACGCCGAGTTCAACCCCCGGCTCTGATATGTCAGGTCAACCGGCTGCCAGCCCCGGTTGGGACGTGAAGCCTCAGCAGCCTATTCACCCGCCGCCTCATCCCGCCTCCCATCCGCACCCACCCCACAACTACCTCCCACAGTACACGTGGTACGGACCCGACAACCCCGGACTACTAACGTAAGTCTCACATTTACAATAATAATAATATTGATTGCCACAGTAAATAAATGAAATTAATTTGTACAACTCATTTGCATTTACCATAAAATACAACAGAATTCGCTATATTTGAGTGCTATATTACTTCACTTAACAGGCAAATACATTTCCTTAATTATAAATATATAATAATGTTGAATGACATATTTAAATTAAAAGAATTATAAGTTTATTATATAATTCTGCACTATTCGTGACATATATATCAGGTGTACCAACCATTGTCGTAATGATTATGTACATAATAAATAATTTTCAAAATTATAAGTCACATTAAGTCATTAATACAATTATGCTTTAATATTGTTGTACGAATTAAGTTAGTATACTTTATATATTGAAAAATAAGTTTAATGGCATGTGTTTACCAGATCGAGATAATATTATAAAACTATAAATAATAGACGCTGACAATAATTTATATCGAGGCTGATTCTGTGCAACGCGGCATTTCCGAGCTGTCGCGGATTGTATGTAAATAAGCTGCTTTTTTGTTCCTTCAAGTATTATATGTTGTTTGTGTAATACACATAAATGCATAGAATACTGTAAATAATGATGTTTACAAAGGAAAGTTAGCTGTTATCATAGATGTTTTCTCCAATTGATGATTGCTTATTATGAAATATTAATCCTTGAGCTTAGATTACAGAATAAGAAAAGATATATTTTTTTACTTTAAACTAGAACCATATCAAAAAGCGAGATACGAGGTATTCGTCAATGAGTCAAATCTCTTTTTGTGAATTTTATTTTTACTCAGTTTTAAAGTCCTGTTTTAAACAGTCCAGGATATTGGCGTACTATGAGAAGTTTTGCTGTATTTGTCACCTTACAATAGTTAAGTAATGTTCAATATGAGATGCACTCTAATGAAGTTTTAAATTTATTTTCATATGTGTAGTTTATCTTATATATTTCTATCCGTATTATCAACTACTATTAGTTATAGAAAGTTAATGTTTAAAAAATGTCCAGTATAGAATGAATGCAAGCATTGTATAGTATTATTTGTAAAGTTTTCTGAAAATTGGGATGAAAAGCATTTTGAATGTTTGGCGAAGCATCTCCTCGTATTTATTCGTTTATAATGAGACCAGGAAAATAATGAACTTTTAAGTATCTCACATAACATAAAATACACAAAGCTGGAGTGTAGTCGTGGAGGTGGAGGAGAGAAGCTCGGAGCTTGTAATTATCGTTTTGTGCCCTCTCGCCGGGGCCCCTCCCATCCCGTTTATCGTTAAATTTGGGCCGTAACGGTGATGAAATTTTAATAAAGAAAAGAAAGGAGAAGAAAACGAAATAAAAATAAGAATGGGAGGCCAGAATGAAGCGAAAACGATGAAGAGAGAATGAAGCGATGACGAAAACGGATGGGAGAGTTTTTGGAGCAGCAGCATCCAACGGTGCTGCGAGACCCTTACTGGACGCGTCGACGCGGCGACGTCCCGATTTTTCAACCACTTACTTACCTCATGTCAACTAACTGGCGGAATAAGAGAAAATAAGAAGAGAAATGAAACGCTATATGGATGCATGTAGAGTTAGATCGTTAATTAGCGCCCTAACTGGCCGTGTAATTAACGGCGTCGGCGCGCACACAAACTTAATTTGTTTACCAGCCTAGGCGGCACCGTCGGAGAAAGCCAATTAAGCAAATTTTCTTCTTCATCCTCTTTACCTCAGAAAACCTCTTTTTCCATCCCTCCAAAAAAAATTGAAAAAAAAAGTAAAAGAGCAGCTAAGTTCGTTTCAATTCTCAGCACTAAAAATGCTACCTAATTAATTAGAATGTCGAAAGACTAGAACCAACAATAGCTGCTGTTTTATTATCTTCGCGGCAGCTGATAAGTTTATTGTCTTTTATGACCTCAAGGGTCACAAAGTTTCTAAAGATAAAAGTTTATAGCCCTAAATTTCCTGGACCCTTTAAAGCCTCGTTAAACGAATTAAGTGGCATCGTTCACGATAAAACTTAGAGCCGCAACTGTTGACATCTCAAGCAGCTGCGGTCAAGCGCAACGCGTGCATTGCACACATTCATACATCAACCATACATTTACCATTGTAATTATATATACGCACTTTACTAATCCCTTTATTTTCTTCTATTTGTTGCAGGGTTTGGCCAGCGGTGTAATCAAGAAGCAGAGCATAACTATTAATATAAATATTAAAAGAGAAAAAAATGTTTAATAAAATAACGAGTGATTAGTTACTAAATTAGGAAAATAATTGAATCGCGAAGTGGTTGTAAAGACAAAGTGATCGAAGATGAATTGTTTTATTATTTTTTGATTGTTTGTTTTTCTTTCGTTTAGTTTTTAAATAAATCTATTATGTTCCGACGGTTTTCTCGAGTGACACGACACGAAGAACAAGTAAACTATTTCTGTTTTGTCAATTTTATTACTGTAACTCCCCAGCAGCGAGAGAACTTTTCAAGGAAATCACCGGAAATAAGAGGAAATCCAAGTGACGTGTATGATATTAGTGTGTAAAAAGATAAATTAGGCGCGTGAAATCAGAAATAAAAAAGTTTTTCCAAAAAAAAAAAAAAAAAATGAAACTGATTTAGAGCGTTGTGATAAACAAATATGTAATTTTCTATATTTTTTTTTTTGGAAGAACTAAGTCCATCAGTTATATAAATTTTTGGTGCAATAAAAGTGTATGAATTGAAAGAACCCTCCAAAAAAGTTAAGAGATAATGTAATATATTTTTTTTGGCTGCGCGCGCAGATGTTGTCCATACAATTGTAAATGTTTAACAGTTAAAAAAAACAACTTATTAAGATGAATTGTAACAAATAATAAAAAAAGAAGTGAACGAATTTTCGATTTGATTACGAAACTTTTCTTTTCTTTTTCTTTGAATTATGTCTATATATATATATATTTGTTTTGTTAATGAAACACGAAAAATGCGTTCATATTACTTGTTCGTTTTAATTTTGAATTTTCCTTTGTATTATAGTTTCTATTTGGTAAAGTAATTAAATAACAGAGTATATAAATATATGATATATTATAAATATTATAAATAGTTGTTGAGCGATTAATTAATTTGTCAGCAAAGAAGAAAAGTGTACCTAATTATTGTAAAGTAGTCTTTAAAAAACAAAAAAAAAATAATGAAAAGTAACCGTGCGAAGGTGAATTCCGTTTAATCAGTTGCAAAAAAATTATTTTGTTTTTTTTAATGTTCTATAATGGGTAAGAGACAGAAGACGGAGATTGAGAAAAAGATGGACGGAAAAAAAATCTTCGATCAGACATCAGGAGAAGAATCTGAATGTGTAAAAAGTATATATTAAAAAAGGAAAAAAAATACAATTTAAATATATTTGGTTTATTTATTTACACGTCGATCTATATTTATTGCTAGACCTTCAACCCTTTCTATACAAACCTGACACCCTCTTCTTGGCTATATGCGTACATTGCGATGGGGTCATTTTGTGGGCTATTGAACTTCACGAGAAATGCGGCCGAAGAGCTGAACTGGAGAACATCCGAAATATTTTATTTGCCGAAACGCGCCGAAAGAAAAACGCGCACGGAAAAGAGGCGAAAACAAAAGCGAAAACGTCATTCCGATCCCATTACTTCTCTGCTGCAAAGGCTGTTGCTTTTTGCACGGACTCCTTACTCCCATGCTATTGCTTGGGTCTGGTGCACCAGAAAGAAAACATAGCAATCGGAAAGATATTTGAGCTATCCATGAAGTGAATGCGGGGCCGCGGTTCGACGAGAAAGTTCGGGACGAATGTGGATGATCCAAGCTTCTTGGGCCCATGATGGATAACGGAAGTTGGCACTTGGATGGAACGTTCCATTAATAAGGTATTCACGAAAGATCAGATTCTACTCAGTATATTTACTTTTTGCTGGATTGCATCTTTTCAACATACTGTTCATACATAGTTCGTAATCAATCATTATAAAGGCGGTAAGTTCTTGAGGTTGATAGACACTTCACAAAACGTTCTATGTACATTTTTTCTATCTATCTAAGTTTTTATCTAAGGTATTTATTTTATTTTTGGTAATTTTTTTTATCAACTATTATATTTAGTATTAATTAATCCAACGAGGTCATTAATTTATCATCCAACATTAGTATAATAGTTCAGACTTTACATTTAGAAAAATATTTGTTAATTTTTTTTAATGTATTATAAACGTGGTAAGTTTAAAAAAAGGTAAATAAAAGGTTTATATAACCATTTATTTTTACTAATGCATTTGGATAAACAGCAATCATTTCCTTAGTGCGAAGTGTTGATTTACGATAGTACGGTTTGAATATCTCTTTAAATTGAGGAAAATAAAAATAAATTTAAAAATTATAGTACATAAAATTATGCCGGATACCCTTGCATAGATTATTTGCACATCCAAACAATTCATGGACTTTTTCCTGATTTTTAACTGTATTAGTATATAAGAGTCCAAATATTTTCAGGTAGGTAACTATGGTTCTATGCAGAAACTATGCATAATTAACTGAAGTACAATAATTGTTCTTAACAAATATATTGCATTAATTATAATCTACAAATAGAAGCATATTTGAAATATTTTACTATGTTTTAATTCTTAAACATGTATATGATTTTTATTTAATGTGTCTTTGCTTCGCCAATTGGATGTTGATAAACAATCCGAATACAAGGTATAACGTGTCTATAATGCCTATGTATATAATGCATTAATCATGTAAGGATGTACATCTAGGCAAATCTAATGGTATGTTGAAAGGAATGCAATATTTATTTTTTATAATAGGTTTTATAATTGAATTTCACGGTTATATTTGATAGCGTACTTTTTATATCGTCGACATAAACAAAGAGGCGTATATTTATTTTACCTGCTTATTGCAAACGATACTTGTTGCTATCATAAAAACTTAATTGTTTTTATCACAACAATTTTTTGTCTCCTAATTAAAAATGCATTTTTCATTTTTTTTTTTCATTTTCAACATGTTCGTTTCAATATAATGTTATATTTGTTTCGTAAAAAAAACGATAAATAAATGAATTTGCTTCTTGATTAGTCGAAAAATCCTTTCCAGGAAGTCTGATGGAGTTAAATCTGGCGAATATGATGGATGTTCAAACAATTCATACGTTAATTCGTTGTTTTTTACCATGGTCAAAATACTCTTGTGAGCTGGTGCGTTGTCTTGGTGATAGATTATTTTCTTTTTCTGTAACCAGGTCTTTTTCACGAATTTTTCCATCTAATTAATCCAACAGGCTTGCATAATATTTTCATATGATTCTATTACCTTTCTCTATTAACAAAATTCCTTTTGCATCCCAAAAAACTGGTGCCATAAACTTTCCTACTGATGGAGTCTTTGTTTAGATTGTTATATCATCTTTGTTGTGTAGTGGTGACTCCCCGATTCATCCATAATTATAAATTAACAAGCAAAATCAGATTTTTTGTCTTTTTAAAATGATTCAAATACGCTTGAGAAATTCGCATGCGTTTGTTATCAATTGTTAGCAAAATCTTATTCATATTTAATACTATATGCAAAAATATGGATCACTATATTATGGACTATTTGAATGTTTCCATCATCTTCAAAGTTTGTACATCAACATTTAAATTCTAAAGTTCCTCAATGGAAAGTTGAAAATGAAAGAGCAGATTGCTTTACTACATTTACAACTTGTTATGGATTTTTATTGCCAATATACCTTAAAAACAAAGAATTTTATCACGGAAAGAATATAATTGTGTTTTGTACTATATATTTGTAATATAATAAAATTGGACAGAAATACCTATTGACAATAGCCATTTGAAATAATTAGGAATTATCTGTATTCATTTCTTTATTTTTGTATCTTTATAAGTATTGCAATAAACATTATTATTAATTATATCATATTTTGATTACATTCCAAATAAATATTAACTATTTCTATACAAGTATAATAAATTGAGTTGAATTAAAAATATAAAATGTATATTAAAAATTCCTGAATATTAATATTGTTGCCTAAATTTTTATATCATTTTCATGTATTTTAATTGTAGTAATCACATTATTGTATAAAAAAAACACAAGCGTGGAACGATTTCTTATAAGAAATATTTCTACAAACAAATATAAATTTACTTAAAAAATAATAATTCAATAACAATAACAACATAACTAAAATTTTGATTTTAACGACACTATGTAACTTAAATAATAATATTCAATCTAATGGACAAGAAAACGAACTTTTAGTTTGTAAAGGGGAGGTCGAGGATGTTGTGTCTCTTTAGTCTATGGGGGGTGTCACTGTTGTCTAGCAAGTATAACGCGAGACTGTTGGGATGTTCTAGTCTGTTCTGGTAACGGGCACTTTACTTGGCGATTTCACTCTTAATAGTGTTCTTGTGGAGGTCATTGTGTATCGTGTCGTTCGTGACGTACCAGGGGGCTTGCACCAGGGTGCGCAGGCATATGGACTGGAAGTGTTGCAGGATCTCTATGTTGGAATTGCTGGCTGTTACCCAAAGCTCCATGCCGTACGTCCACATCGGCTTCAGCACGGTCTTGTAGATTAATAGTTTATTTTCGAGTGATAGCTGTGATCTTCTGCCGATCAGCTAGTACAACTTTGCGAACTTGATGCTAAGTTGCTTCCGTTTTATTGCGATGTGCTTCTTCCACGTGAGTCGGTGATCCAGAAACATACCCAAGTACTTGGCATCGTCAGCTTGCGGAATGGTTCTGCTGTTTAGTGTGACCCTTTTTAAGGGTAAAAGTAACGTGACTAGATTTGCTTTCGTTTTCTAGTCTACCTAATTAAACTGATCTTTTTAATTCATTCGATACGATTTTTGTATTGTATTATATTAAGTGAGTGCTTCCACATAGGAATTTTTAACAATATTGATTGGCCAATTTAGGACAAAATGTACACTTTGTGAATAATAATAATATTTAGAAATTATTTGATTAAATAAGTTAAAAAATCAATTGAAATTGTAAGATGTAGTAGATACATATAAATATATATAAACCGGTCAATAACCTTAACGTCCTATAGGAAAATAACGATTATTAATAACATGGCCAATTAATTAATTAGAAGAAATGCAGAAGAAGTGGATCAACAAAGGAGCGGAAATGAGAAAAATGTCCAAGTGTCAAATAATATCCGCTCGAAAACGCTGCAGAGCGATGTGAACACCGATGGGTATCTGTGATAAAATGCTAAATGAAAATTTATGAATTGCATCGCAATTACTAGTAAATAGTAAGTTCCATGCGATCCGGGAGCCGTTGAAATCGGCTAATTGGTTAAGATCACGCATTAAATGTTTAGAGAATGAAAATTCAAAGCAAACTCAAACGAGTTGTAAATAAAACGCGGCTCTTTGTAATGCATTTACAAACAACGGCACAAGTGTGTGATTAATTTAATCTGCTTATATTTGCAAATAAATCACACAATTTAGCTACCGTAACAATAACAACAGCAACAAAAAAAATGGAAGTATTGCACACGATTAAATTCCTCTCTGCATGGTAACTTTA